CCCACAGAGTTGTCGAACTGTTCTCGGTGCTGGCGAAGTGCACGCAAGATAGTATGCTTCAAGATAAATCATGGATGGAAATTGGCAGCATGTTTGTGCACACTGCACAGCTCACATTCAGTAATAGATATTTCCGCCATAATTCTGCGTCTCCTTTATCAACTACCGTTCATGACGGGCTAGGTTACGTTCGTGTGAGTAGCTGTGGTCTCCACCGAAGGGCCTGACAACTCCGCAGCGAGAGAGTAATGACGTTTATGTTATTTACTTTTCTGTTGCGTACATCCACATTTCAACATGTCCGACCGATATGTCCATGTCATCGGCATGAATGCGTCCGTCCTAGCCCTTATCAACCGCTAAACTTTATGATCGTCAAACATCGTCATACAACTGCCCGCGTTTCACAATTCCACAGACGCTGCAAAACTCACAATATCTTCGCATTAGTAGCATGTTCGTTGATCTCTGATGCTTCGGGCCATTGTGACAGATGCAATTGCGTAGTCAAGACTAGTTGAACAATACGCATAGCTGTGCACAAGAGTAGCTAGAGATATATTTGTTCTCAAAGTCCATGACGTTTCGCAAGACGTATGACCTTAATAGTGACTTGAGCTTTCATGGAATCATTTGATAATACAATGAAACGTGGAGCAAGCTCGCTAAGCTGTGTACAATATGTGCCATCGACATGTAACGTTTGAGGAGATGGTTCTAACGTTTAACACGCGCAGTGGAAGGGGGGGGGGGGGCGGATTTCGCCCACCCCTCCTGTTTTTCGCCAATAACTCGCGCCGCAAACAAAATATTAATGTGAAATTTTGGCTACCTGCCCAGAATTGAATTGCAGATCTTCTCGTGCAAGAAATAAGAAAATCGGTTCACAACTTTTCTAGTAAGAGCGATGTAAAGTCAAACATCCTGCCGCCGCGGCGGCGCGGCGGCGCGGCGGCCGGCGCTAGCCGTTACGCGCCGCCTGAATTGTAGACTGTGCCGGGGCGGGACGGTTACGTCTTTACATCGCGCTCCCAGGGGTGGAGAAATATGCCGAGTTGGGGTTGCACGGGCGCAGCAAATCCGCCGCCGCCCTGGCGGTGACCTTGACCTCCGCCGTCTGGCGCGGCTCCAAAGCCAAGCCGGCGCAGCCGGCGTGGAATTGGGAAGGCTCGTGCTACCCCAACTCGGCACAATTCTCCACCCCTGCGCGCTCCTTACCGCTGATTATATTAGATTCGCGTCAAATTTGGTGAGAAGACTGAGAAATGTACAGGGAATCATATGGTCAAAGAATTTTGAAAATCGGCCCGTAACAACTTGAGTTATGAGTGTGTAAACACAAAATTGTGATTGCCGCGTTTCCCGCGTCGGCCGATCCCGCTTCAGCCGGCGACATCTTACCCTTAGCAGGCTTCTAACTGCCATATTTGTTGTTGGATTAACTAGAAATTCACCTTACATACTCACAAATGTTTGGTCTTTCGTATAGTGAAAGAAAAAAGATAATCGGCCGGTAACTTTTTGAGTTATCGGCGTGTAAACGCAAAAAAGTCGCTCATATGGCAGATTTGACCACATTTGACCTCATTTGACCTTGAAGATATTGACCTAGGGTCATGAAATTCACACACAACAGAGTTCCCCATGGCCCCCACCTACCCTCCAAATTTCGTCTTTCTAGCTCCAGTGGGAGCTGAGATCTTAGGGGGGGGGGGCGACATCCGCCCCCCCTTCCACTGGGCGTAGTACTGGCAACCCTTCCACTGCGCGTGTTAACATCTTTTTTCTTGATCCATTGGTAAGAGGCTCCTCGAATGGAGAACCAATCTTTCACTTCGCCCATCTGAGAAGCACATAACGCCCTAGAAGCACAGAAGGCTTTCACTCAAATAAAACGAACAATCGTGGGCTTATGAGAGCGCGACATATTCCGGCCGGTGAATATGGAAACATACGAGAAACGATGTTTAGAAACATACTCGATACTCGATTAGAAACGATACGAGAAACATACTCGTAAACGTCTCACCAAGCTACCGCCTTCTTTCACTCGGCCATTATTTCATCTTTTATTTAGCTACTCTATCAATACGTTGAACAAAACCACATACACTCTTTGAACCAGTTTTTTTGGCAATCTTATATTTCAAATTGATATTAAAATTCAAGATAAAAGAAATCGGACCATTTTCCACGTAACGAATGGCAAATATGGGTAACCGAGGGGTCGTGTCAAATAGTTTAAACACAATTGGCGTGAGAATTGTCCTTGACACTTTTTTCAAGAACTGCCAGAGATTATGTGTGTATAAAAATACGGACAATTGCACATTATGCATGTCGGCGCAATACGACCGACGAGATTCACGGTTATCGATGGACTTCTTTTCCCACGAGCGAAACTTGACAAACTTCGCAGGCTTTTCTTTCATCAAACATAAATTGGCTACCGTTATTTTTACGTTTAATTCAAAATGCTTAGATATCTACTCACCTTTAGGTACGGCTCTCGCGAGATTAAGCGGTAGGTTGTGCACTTTAACATTTCCGGTTATATCTCAGAAACTAATCGATCTACGATGAAGCCATTTTTACACGATCATGGCCGGCTTGTGAACCAAAAAGTCGATCGCATCTTCAACACTTAAAAGCTTAAGACAACGAAAATATAGCCTGAAGTACACTAAATTTTATAGGTGCAAACCCTACCGCTAAAACCCGAGAGACCTGTACCTAATTCAGTTTGAAACGACGACCCGATTGTTATTTGAAAATCATCGGCAAACTATCCATAAATTGTAGCTGATGCCTACTGTTGAACTCATGTATTGTTTTGAGCTGAAATGTCGCCATCAAATAGTGCTCTTTATATCCTGGCATAATTATCCCATATGTGTGGGAGGCAGACCTCCACAGGACGCAGCTCAGCCCGGAGACAGGTGGCGTCGCCTGGCGTGAGGCTAGTGAGCTGCGGCGGCGCCACCTGGGTCCAGGCAGGCGGTAAATACCGAGGACCGGCATCGGCCTGCAGGGTGCTGGCGAGACCAAGATTGGGCGAGACCATCACCTGGGCCGGCTGCCATTTACCAACGAATAACTATAGAAAGTATGATCGTCTTAGCGATTCAAGTGATTTATTTAACATGTATGTAGGTACAATGTAGGTCTATGTAGGAACGCTTCGCTCGCTTGGAGATAGGTAATGACGTTTTTCATGAAATATCTGAAAAATGACGTTCATGGTATTTCAACCGCACCAAGTACAGATAATTTAAACCTCCGTTCCCTCATTTCCATCCTTAGGACATTCAAGTCCTTCTCCTACACACCCCAGACCCCTACTCCGGGCTGGAGGACGGGCAACTCTATCCCATGCGGAAATGCCCGTCAGAGCACGTCCGTAGCCGGGTGCGGTGAGTGCTTGGGGGGGGGGGGGGGCTGGTTGGCCTGTCCTACGGACGGGCTTAGCCCCGGTGACTCACCAGGGTGCTCGCCCAGACCAATGTCTCCCCCCTAATTCCTATCATCCTTCTGGCCCTGAAATGGTTTCGTCAGGCCTAAAGGGCCTTACCCAACAAAACAAACAAATAAATCATTAAAAAATGAGTTCCGATTTCGCTTACCTAGTTCATATTTATGACTTAAAATCATAATATAGATAGGTTATGTCTACCTAATACATCTACCAGACCAGACGCAGATATGTAGACTAACAAATCTAACAAGAATATCTAATCGCTTAAATCATAACTCAGCCTATTGCTGAGAAGAGCCTATTGCGAATGAAATCCGGTAATCAGTGTCCGATCCTGTTCGCTCCCGGTTCCCGGTTTTTAATATACTCGCTCCAAGGTGGTAGTATGATTGTGTCCCTCGAGGGGCGGAGGGGAGCGGGCGATTTCACGCCCTCTAACCCCTCTAATTCGGCTCGTAGTTTTAGAGTAGTGACTAGTGACACGGCACGAAGTGACACGCCGTGAGCGTTCATGAAGAACATATCAGTCAATTTGTTAGATAAAGTCAAATACCAGGTCATCAGAGGTCACTAAAGGTCACACCATCAGAGACCATTAAAATCAGGTAATCATAGATCATCAAAGGTCAAATTTTCCCGCTAGGTATTGACGTCTGGGATAAGAGGGCTCATAGCTGATGAAATAATTATGAAGCTAGAGTATCGACGGAAAAGCGTTCGTCCTTGGACTTCACCTAGGATCAACGACTCAGCCTCCAGAGAACAAAAACTGTCCAAATTGACGTTTTTAAAAATGTTTTTTCTGCAATAACTTTTGGCACAAAAATTGTTTGATATTGATCTTTGTGGCATCGTGTTTCTACCATTGTGATGCGATGAATGAACTACGAGTTGACCTTAAGAGGTCAACTCGAATATTTGACCTGAGAAAAAGGTCGAATATTTAGCCGGACAAGATCTTGTTGCGCAACAGACCTCTTTTCACCGCGTTTCGATAAAAATACTGTCATAAATTATGGTGAACTTTCATGACCTAAGATGACTTAAGGGGTGTAAGGTTGTCTCGCAGGTGCAATTACTCGAATTATGCACAATTAAATACTAATGCGCTACACGACGTTTGAAAGTGTTGAGTGTAACTAGGTGGCTCCGTCCGTAAACGACGCAGTCTAACTTCTTCCATTGACTTAAAATGGAGAGGCTGCAATTATTGACCCGTTCTTAGATCTGAGATGGACGTTTTAGGTATACGGCCAGTGACCCTTAGCAACCGCTGAAAATTTCAAAGTGCCAGCATTCTTTATATTTGTAATTCTCTTAAATTTTCTAGTTTTTAATTTTTATTTCAGCATTTTTTTAAATATTTGAACAACAAAATAGTGGAAGACGTGAAAAAACCTTTGCCCCGGTGCAGGTTTATTACAAAGCTTGGCGTCAAGTTATACTAATGGAGATCACCTCTTCTCGACTCCCTCTTTCCTGCCATACATGGTTAGACTCTTATTTTCAAACAGCGTTCTTCATTTGGCGATATATTTGTAACAACCATACAATACAAATAATTCTTAAATACGGCACACCGATGCATTCATATTCATGTGTGCCGTCTTCATCACAACTCGTAGTTAAAAATGTTGAAGAATGGTGCACATTGCCAAAATAGGGCCCAAACGGAAAATATCATTATTTAATTGCTTCATGCTACCGTGTGGTTTTAAGTACCTTTTGAATGGCGCTAGGTTCACTTGTTAGTTGTGACAGATGCTTACATTGCCATTAAAAAACTGTTGTAGCTAAGCAGCTTCACTTAACCTAAGAAGTTCTAATACTAAACTCAGCTGCACCCATGCATCACTATCTCGCAAAAAAAAAAACTTATGATTAAGCTAAACCTCTTCGCTTTGTCGGGTTCGATTGAATTGCGCTCTTGGACGCTTGGTCACAAATAATTGTAGCCGGATTAACATGTATTTCCACTACATATACATGCAACTATCAAAATGCCTCCATTGTCGCCAGATGAACACCGAGCTGAAACTCGTATCCGCGAAATAGCCATAACAAAGCTTGCTATGGCCAAGCACACAACTAGCGAGGCTGATCCCCGTATTTTGGGTAATGCCGCATAACTATGTAGTAAAACAGGTGAGCCATGCTGCCGGCAGGTGCTATAAATAGTCTCTCGATGGCCTCAACATGGCAATGTGACGCGTCCTAACCGCTTAGGCTCGAATAAATCCGAGAAGTGCCGCAGCACACACTCATACACCGAACTGCCCGTCCCCGAGCACAGCAATCAAACGCCAAGTCCCAGTGAGGACTACCGGCAATGCTCGTTAGTGGTCCGGATCACCAATCATAAAACTACCTCACACAAGGCCATGGAAAGTCGCATGTCAAAAATAAAACGCCTGAAGAAAATGACGACGCCGTCAATGCCAATCAAGCCAACAGTTGATTTTTGTGATTGTTGGCTAGTCCTTCAAACATTTTAGCATTACCGTGTCTCAGTGGCACGATGACACGCTTGCAATCCCCTGGCTCAGAGTTCCTGCGCTAGTTACACCCGAACGTCTCTCCCTCCTCGCACACCGAGCCTCCTCACAGGGAGAGCCTGAGCGCCGTGAAACTCAGCCAGGAGGACAGCAGTACAGTCAGCATTGAAACCACCAGCGACTGGGCGCCGGAGCGAACCGGCAGCAGCACCTCTCCTCGCGCTGTGTCCGACTCCTGATCGCTCTCACTGTCCAGAGTCAGCTTTTCGGCGTGTCGCTCGTCGTCGATACCGTTGAAGCCGTCGAAGGGCCGCGCAGGCTCCGGTCGACGCGTGGGCCGACGCGACGGCTTCCGGGTGGTGGTCGGAGGAGCCTCCGTCAGACTGACCGAGTTGTCCTGTTTGGACCCGAACCGAGTGTCGGGACGCACACTCTCGAGGATGTCGTCGAGCGTCCACTGGCCTCTGCTTGTGGTGGGCTCTGTGACTGGTGCGCGAGTGGTCGGCTGGCGGTAAGTCGTCGGGATAGGACTCTGAGGATTGGTGGTCTTCTGTGCCATTTTCTGATCATGACGTTCTCCGTCGTCAGCTGAGAAACTGGGACGGTGGGGCGGGGTTGGAACCTGGGTCAGGTCAAGGCCAGGCTGTTGGGTGCCGCCGAGTGGCGCTGAATCGTCAGATACCGTGACTTCCGAGAGAGGACCGGGAGTGGTCGGCTGGGGCAGGTAGCTACCCGCGTGCAGGCCTTCATCATCTTTACCATCTGCGCTCATGGTAGATGTGGCACCAACACGGTTCACCGAGGACTTGAAGCTCGCAATGACCGCCGGCGTTGGCACGGTGGTGCCGAGGCTCTGGACGTGCAGAGCAAACAGTTTCTGCAGGTCTGCAGCGCTGGTGGTCGAGCTCGGGTCGGCCGTGGTCGTGGCCTTGGTGTACTGGGCGAACAGAGCCTGCAGCTGGGCTTCCCGGCTCCTGGGGTCCAGAGTGGTCGGTTGAGGGAACGGAGGATCGGTGGTGGTGGACGTCGAGGGTGGCTGGGTCGCCTTCGTGTACTGCGCAAACAGGGCCTTAATCCTGGCCTCCCGGCTTGCCGCGTCGTCGAGAGAATCGTGGGCAGCATCGTCATCGACAGTCATAGGTGCCTTAGTGGTAGCTGGCGGAGCAGCGTCGGCAGAGTTCAGCCTTTCCTCCAGCCGGCGGTTGAACAAGGATCGGAAGTCTTCGTCGGTCAGATTATCTTCGGAGGTTTGCTCCTTGCTCGCTGCCAGGTTGCGATCGAACTGAGCTCGGAGCCAGTCCTCGCGGGCCTGCGCGACGCTGAGACGATCCTCCTTGTAGCGGTCCATCAGTGACCGCGGTCGAGCTGTGGTGGGTACGGTGGTCACGCCTGACTCCGTGCTCGGCAGGTAGGCCGGGCCCTGCGCGGTGCTGATGCCGTACTCCTGGCCAGACCCGGTGGTCGGCAGGTAGCCCGGAGACTGCGAGGTGCTGGTCGGGTAGTCGTCTGCTGTGGTGGGGAGATAGCCCTGCACACTGCTTGTCCGGTAGGCATCTTCCGAGGGCGTAGTTGGCAGGTAGCCTTGGTCAGAAGCCGTTGTTGGCTCGCTGGGCTGGCTCGGCGAAGTGCTGGGCTCAACCTGATCCTCACTTTCGTCATCGTTCGTCCTCCAGCGGCGCCCTCCCGGCCGTCCGGGCCGCCGCAGTCGGGACGCGCCGCGACGTCTAGCCGGCTCCTCAGTTGGCGCAGCCGCTACCGTCGCGAAGGGTGTCTCGCCGTCGTCAGATACACCCGACGGCGTGGTGACATCCAACTGTGGGATCTCCGGGGCCGGCGTTGTGTAGCGACTAGGCCTGACTATCCCAGGACCACGCTGGGGTCGCCCACGGCGCCAGGGGCGTGGCCGTCTCCCCCGACTTGCTTCTGAAGGGCCTTGCTCCTCGTTGTCATCTAGAGGACCGTTTTCAACTTCGACATTCTCATTGTTCCTGCCTGGAAATCCGCGTCGGTTCGATGGTCTGCGACGATTAGCGATTCGTGCGGCCTTACGTTGTTCTAGAAGAGAAATTCTGTCCGTGGGAGGACGAGCCAGTACAGAGTCTGAGTCGCTTCCTTCTCCGATCGCGACCGGCGTCTCCTCACCCTCAGACTGCTGGCCACTTAACACGTCGTCTTCTCTTATCTGAGAACGCTCCTTCTCCAGGCGCGATCTCGGTCTGTACCGTCTTGTAGGAGGCGCCTCTACTGGATGGACATCTTTGAGAGTATCATCGGTACCTGGTGTCTCCGTGGTCGTCGCATCCTTTCTCCTTGGTTGCAGCCTGTGTCGCCTGCGCCCGACAGCCAGAACTCGAGGTCGAGGGCCTTGGTAGCGATCCGGGATGAAGGACAGACTGTCGCCGCCTGCAATGTCTCCATCATCCATGACTTTGTCATCCAGAGACGCTTCCGATGTAGTCGGTGCTATCGTGTCGCCCTCACTGGTCGCGGATGGCTCAGTGGTGTCATCTTTCGACACTCGCGGGACCTTCTTCAGTCTCCTCCGAATGACAATACGGGTACCGTTCAGAGGATCAATGAACTCTCCCACAGGTGTCCTGATGAGATCCTGACGTGACGGCGCATCGTCCTGGTACACGCTGGCCGCCGTCAGAAGGATAGCCTTCGAGGGCCGTCTGCGGAATCCTGCTCCAGACTCCGTCTCGTCATTGGTTGCCGGCGATTCCGGGGCGGCAAACACCTTGTCGTCGGCGTTGTCTGGAGTTTGACTGGCGCTCAGAAGAGGGTCTGGCTCAGGCGTCGGCCGCTGCCTTCTCCGAAGAGTAGGACGCCGACCGCCGCTGCGAATGCGCTTACGTCTGGTGGTCGACTGGGTGCCCCCGAGCCGACCTCGGTCGCCGTCTCGGTAGCGCCGACGCTCGTCGTCCGGATGGGTCGGCGACTCGGTAGTAGGAGAAGAGGCTTCATTGGTTTCCGAGGGCACTTCGGAATTCGACGAGGGATTTGGGCTTGCTTCATTGTCATCCTGGCGGAGAGGAGAAGGCGTAGGGGGTGGGATATCTGGGATTTGTTGAAGACCATCAAACTGATCTTCGGGAAATCTGTCATTGGGCTGGAACTGGTCGGATGTGCGGAAGTTGTCATTATTGCCCAGCTGAGCGTTGTTTCCGCTTGCGAAGCTTGGGCGAGGGGTGCCGGCGAAGTCGTTACTAAAGAAGCCGTTGTTCTGGGGCAATTGATTCACATTTCCAAAGAAGTCATTTCCGGGGAAGCCGTTGAACACAGGCGTTGGGCCGATCGGGATATTCCCACCGAATGCGGGGGCCTGCTGTCCGAATCCGAAGGGCGCGCCACCACCAGACGGGAACACGCCAGGGAAAGGAGGTCCGGAGGGGAACGGGCCAGGCTGGAACCGTGGGTCAGGCCCCGGCAGGGCGCCGCGGAACTCTGAGACGGGCTGCGCGGCCGCCGCCACCTGCGTCACGTGGATGGGGGCCGAGGGTGCGCTCTGGTCGGCGCCGGGAGCGCTGGCCGGCTCCTCCAGCGTCGCCGTGGCGGCCAGCGTGGGCCGCACGCTGGGACGGTAGGTGGTGACCGGAGGGTCCTCCTGCTGTCCAGAGGAGAACAAATCCGGCTCCGGCTGCTGCTCGGACGGGAACAGAGCCGGCTGCTGCTGCTCCGGCTGCCGCGGGCGGATCACCTGGCGCCGTCGGAAGCCGCCGCTCGGCAGCTGAGCTCTCCAGCGCGGCACAGACTCGTCCGGTCGCAGTCGACGGGACAGCCGAGCGCCAAAGTCGCCGTGGAACGGCACCACTTGTTGTATCTTCTCCGAGCCCAGCAGCAGGTGGCCGTCCAGCGGGTCAAACTGTGGCGGCGCCGGCTCGCCGCGGCGCAAGTACACCGGCCGCAGATCACCGGACGCCTGGAACAGGCCGGGACGGACGGCCGGGAGCTGCTCCTGACTGAGGGCAGCCTCCCTGGGCCCACTCGGACGCACCGTCAGGACCGACCGCTCGGCGGAGGGGGCAGCAGAAGGCGAGGCTGAGCGAGCCGAGTCCTGTGCGCTCGGCCCCGACTCCTGGAGCGCCGAGGCCGGCAGGGGGCCGCTGCCGATGGCGTAACCCCAGCTCTGTGAGCCGTCGTCGTGTCGGTGGTGGCGCACGCCGAACGACATGCCCGAAGAGAGGTCCTGCGCCTTGGGTTTGTTCATCGGTTCCACCTCGAACCCGTATGAAAACATGCCTGTAACAGAAGGACATGGCGGTTAAGTCGTTGGCGTGAGAAGAGAATGGATACAGAGTCAGCTGTTCTGGAATATTACTCATCTTGGGGAACTTGTTCAAGTTATGACAAATTTCACCCATTCACTCTTTGAATTTGTCGAAATTATACACTTATGTAAATACATGAGTTGAACTGGCAACCATTCAAATTGAGTCGCGAAAAAATAAATACGTATGGCAATGAGTAAATTCAGTCTTTTTACGGAAAAGACCTAATCTTATCCCTCATCGAGCAGGAAATGGTCCAAGAGCCAAACCGACCGACCGACGGACGGATCGGGACGAACCGACGTGCATCGGACGTCTGACAGTGCGGCGTAGTGAGTAACACCGGCATCCGACGCGGCGGTGCACACTGCACAGTGCACAGTGCACAGTCAGTCTCGCGGTATGTCAGGCGGCTGCGGTCAGTGTGTGTCCACCAACACCGCCTGATCGCATTGGCACGACTGAGCCGATAATTCACCACTTCCGGATCATGTGTAAGACATTTGCTGATCCTTCTCAAGGCCAGATGTGTGAGATACGGCATAGAACTGAGTTAAATGAGTCGAACTGATTGGGTCGCTGGAGTAATTTTGAATAGTTTCGAAATCTGTGGTCCTTACCCAGGCCAATTTGTAGAAAATGTATGGCTCGGCAAAATACCGTCGAATGGCTGATTGCCTGGTTGGTAACCGCATGAATATAGAATACACAGACATGAAATTTAATCGTGGAACAATTGTATTACTCGTATACGGAACGCAGCTGATTTAACGTGCTCATTTTAGATATTTTGGCCAGAAGGACGGTTTAGGAAATGTGCCAATATTCAGACATCGCCACAAAATTACTTATCAAGTGCCATCGCATGACCATTCAAATGCGCAAGATCACAACATCAACGCATCGAGGGTGAGGTCCGCTCCAATTTTGGTCGTTTTACTACGGTGAGCACGCACTGTGTGTACGTCATTACCGAATTAGGCGGTACGGCGCGGCCGTTCGAGAGATTAGTGAACAGATTATTCCGTCTGGGTGCACGGCCTGTCTCTACACATCTGACAGTTTCATGGAACGCTGGGCGCAGGGACACGCCCAGCGCCAGTTCGGACGGCATTTCCAGAGCCACTTTCCTGTCCCTGTCGAACGCCCGACTCGGACTCACACGACCAACACGAGATCGTGCAGCACCGCGGAGGTGAAGGTTATCAGCAGAGTTTATCTGAGTTCTGTACGCAGGATATGTGATGCGGGCGGACGTGACGAATAACATCCGTGGAATATCATGAGACGTTACATTATACAAGTAGCTCAGAATGAGGCAGACCAGGAAGGACATTGGTATTAACGTTGATGTCAAATGTAAGCGTTTAAAAAGCTCTGGGTAAAGCTCTTAAAAAGTTAATTGGGAAATTGGGTGCTGATAAGATAAGCCACACCTGCTTGCACAATTGTGCACCAATTTTATTGCGCATTACGCCAGTGTTTTGATATTTACGGTAATTCTTGGTCGGTGATAATTCCGCAGGGCTGTAAAACAGCGCCTCGCACATCATGTACTAGACATCGCAGCTAAACTAAGCCAGCACTCAAACCAGACAAAACAGATTCCTTTGAAAGTATTTACTCCCTCTTTTCTGCAGATACGTAGGTACTATGCAGGCGTGACGTAACGATTCGTGAGAAAATCCTATTTGCAGAAATGTTGCATGTCGACTAGTCTGCTCTCGGTGGCGTGCTAGAGGCTGCACTGTAGCGCCACTTCTCCCTCTCAGAAGGATGTTCCTCTGGGCTTCCAGTCCGGAAGCTGTGCTCTGTACCTAAATCCGGAACACCCAATAGGTTTGAGAAGCGAAAAGATTCACAGCTTTCTAAATGCCTGGCCGGGTTTTGGCGAGTAATGGCAGAAATATTTTGCCATTATTTAGGGCAGTAGCATTCTGAACACAGTGCCCACATAGTCCTTGTTTCTTTGTGAGAAAGGAGCATGATTCATTGGTCCTTACGACGTCTCCACTCCACGACTCCACGAGAACATCAACGTCCCTTTTGATCCTTTGGACTACCTAGCCTATAATCCTCGGAGAGAGAGAGAGAGAGAGAGAGAGAGAGAGAGAGAGAGAGAGAGAGAGAGAGAGAGAGAGAGAGAGAGAGAGAGAGAGAGAGAGAGAGAGAGAGAGAGAGAGAGAGAGAGAGAGAGCACGCGCACCGGTCGAGAGGAAAATTGGTCAGCAGCAGTGAACAGCAAGCTTGGTTCCCAAATCCCAAACTAACAGATCTGACGGCAATGTCAAGACAGTGCACACCGGAACAGAAAGGAAAAGCCGATAGTACAAGGGATAGAACGGCGCAATGACAAACTACAGGACGTGCATATTACTGAGAGGACAGCATTATTGATCAGATTAGACAGGACAAGGCTGATCAGACGAATCAGGACAGGACCGACCAGTTCCACTCGGAACAGTGCAAACCGTTTGGACAGACTGACACAGGAGGAAACTCCGCTGCAGCCTGCACGGTTCTGTCGCCGAGAACGGGTCTCGGTCCCGGCGGCATTCCGGCCAGATGTCCGCGACTCCCACCGCCCCAGTCACGTCTCCGGCGACCCCGACGGAAAATCGGTACTTTCCTGTCTGAGACTGATTATAAATTATTAACGGACTTATCTGGTTCACACTCGCATACGATCTTTCAGATTTGGATATGATGGCTTGCTGAACTACGCAGTTTGTCACGCAGTTGAAACTTGGCATTTACGGTCGTTCCCTTTTGTGTACCTACTATTGTTTGTAATTTCTGGAGTTTATTTTAGCGTTTAAAGGAGTTTCTGGAGTTAATTTTGCGTGTTAGTTGGGTACATCCGCTCGGCTCAGCGCTGCTTGATTCAATACTTTTAAACACGGTCGTAGAGCAGAGTTGGTGTTATTGTGATGTGTTGAGTTGAAGTTTCCCGTTCACCAGTACGCAGTGAACAACTACTTAATACTTCTTTTGACTGCTCAAGAATGAAATTAATCAAACGCCAGGACGGTCTGTGGCTTTGTTGAAGACAGCTACATTATGAATATTGTTTTCATCGGTTGACTTTGAAGACTTTCCGATACGTTTCCAAATAGATTGGCTCGGGATGACAGAATTTACACATTGGAGCAGCACGCTCATAAAATGCTAAATATTTCACCGAGTGCTTGGTACATACGCCACACCGCGGCGGTTGCAATAATAACAAATCTGTTTACGGCAGCCTTATGTTCCGCACCGTCCCTGTGGTTCAATACTGTGTCGTACCGTCTCCGGGAACAACAATGGTGCGACGCTGCTGTGAGGTCGCCGTGTTGTGCTGCAGACCGGCTTCCGGTCACGGAATGTCACGACAATTGACCTGTCTCGGCCTATCACGAAACGTCGCTGGGTGTTTCGGCGGCGGAGAGAATGGTTACCGGTGAAGGTGTTTTTTTATTGAGAATTTATACTGACATGGGATATCTAATGTTTGCAAATAGTGGGAGATCATGTGTGTTTTCAAACATCAACAAATCACAGCTTAACCCGCGCACCGACGGGGGTCTGCGCCAACTTCGCACCGACGGGGGGGGGGGGCGGATGACCGCCCCCCTCCCTGAGATCTCGAGAACGAAGCAAGATAGCGACAAGCGGTAAACGGCATCGGATACGCTCGGCCAAGATCTACAATTTTTACTAAGGTCATTTTCAGGTCAGGTCAAAGATGACGTCACAGGGGTCGAAAAAGTCAAAATGGCGGCGCTAGATATGGAGAGTTTTTCTCGAATAACTTTCGAATTAGTCAAGATAGGAACAAACTAAGGGCACCATCGTGATCCTCTCGTCAATCCGCATCGAATGATATATGTTGACCTCGAAAGGTCAAGGTCAAAGGTTGACCTCAGGTCACGTGACCTCGAGGTCATCATGTATATCATTCGATGCGTCTTGACGAGCTGAACACAATAAGACCATCCACGCGTCTGTATCTTGTTCCTGTACGGAGTTATTGGCCAAAAACCTTTGGTGACCTTTGATGACGTCACATGACCTCACAGCTGCCCAACAGCAAAACAGACCTCAAGGTAGTGAAGGTTGATCGTATATGAAGTCATGTATGGTATATGGGGCCATTCCGACCCGTTTTAGTGGTAAAAACAGGGAGTTGATTTTTCCCCCATTGACTTATAATGGGGAGGTCGCGAAATTGACCTGACCTTAGGTCACCGATATCAAAATTCCGAGATATACAAATTGTAGCTACTAATGACCTAATAATATCCTGCGACTTTCAAAGGCCTCCGACATCTACTGTAGCTCTGGCACGGTGACAAAGTTGCAAAAAAGTGACTTGAGGTTGGGTCATTCAAAGTGACCTGGTGACCTGACCTTAAAAGGTAGGAGGTTCAAACTTGCACACCATGTGTAAAATTGATGAGGTTATAGTCATACCAAATTTCGCGCCGCGGTTTTCCCGCTATTCGCGAAAAACCTCAGGGGGGGGGGGGCGGATATCCGCCCCCCCCGTCGGTGCGAGGGTTAAGGCGTTCCTGGTCTTGTGGAATTTGTATTGTATTGTATTGTATTGTATTGTATTGACACCAAAAGCCTTCCACATATGGCGTGGCGATTACGGCTTTCTCATAAGATTATCAAGAACAGGGCAAGTTTGTATTGCCTGAAAAGGTTGTCATGAAATTTCCACCCTTCACATTTGACAATTCGGTTTTCTATGCATTATTTTGGCATAAGGTTGGACGAATCATACTCGGTATGGAACACACCCGATGTTGGTTCGAAATCCGTAAATTTATGTAGACAGTCTCCGCGCAGGCCCACTTCGACGCACCGTCAGGACCGAGGGCTCGGCGGAGTGGGAGACGAGCCGGACAAGACGAGTCCTCAGCGAAATATGCCAATTGAGGATTGCTGAATAGCGGAAAAAGACACAAATCGTAGGAACCAAAGCGTTCACACAGGAAAAAGTCCGGCTCGAGCAGTGCACAAACCCACCTTTCTCCATATCCTTGTCGTAGTAGAAGTTCTCCAATCGCCCGTCGTGAACTGACGTAACTAGTGGTGCCAAAAGGCAGACCACTAAGCATGTGAGGCAGTGCATTCGCGTCATCTGAAACAGGGAAATAAAACATTCACATTACCTAGTTAATAAACCATTTAAGATGTTACAATAATTGGCCGATAACGTTGACCCGAGTAAGAGCGTTTCTTACTTCCTACCTCAATGAGTTGTTACATTGCTAAATAGCGTCACGACGGCATTCAGATAAGAAAATCTAGCCTGATCTAAAAGGAAGGGAGGTTCTTCCTAATATACCATAAACTAAAATGTGAGACAAGTTGCCAAACGCTTCATATCAAGCGCGTTTTGATGCATTATTGAGATTGTTCGATAATCGTGCCTTTTTTTTTTGCTGCGAGAAGCAAGCCCGGCGTTATATCGAGAAGACAAAGATTCGCACTCGTGCCCATACTTTTCTAAGCCGGCAAGAGCTCGGTCTCTCCCCGTCGCGTAGTGTCATGCCCTAGAAAGGTCTTTCAAAGCCCACCTTGCGTTACCCACCAGATTGATTGACTGAAAGAACGGGTAAAAATATCGATTGAAAGCGACAGTTTCCGCCTCTACCGATGGAACGTAGTAGAATAATGTTTTTGCTGTTTGGACTTCTGGTCAATACCAACTTTATTTCGCTCAAGCTTGAATTGAACAAGAGATAATGACCTACCCCAACATGGGTGACATAAACATTCAGCAGAATTCCGTATGATAACAGATCACTGATGCTTAAACGGATAGATTGACGATGCCGGAGCCCAAGCCGTGTGCACGGGCACAAAACTTTATAGCCCGATTGGCCTATTCCGGGAAATTTGGTGAATTACGATGCTAAAGTTTAACATACTTATCAGAGCCGGACACGGTCCGTCGCATCCATTGACTTCAACCTGCTAGTGGCTGCAGCTGCTCCCACCAAACGCGGGCCAAAGGTTACGCATAATAATTGATCTTTCCTCTCCTACTTGCATCGAAAAATGATTTCCCCATGCATAACCTCACCCTTATTATACACAATAACACATGCCAACATTTAAACACGGATAAACCAAGGATTAGCAAATGCACGGATAAGTTAATGAATAACCTAAGCGCAAAGTCGCGACTCTGACGACTCACCTTTGTGTTGTTGGACGCAGAGCTGACGTCACTCCATGAAGTCGTGTCACGGTTAAACCGAAACGTCCTCGTCCCCCGCAGAGGACGCTCCCGACGAACCGTTTCTGGTCCGCGCACGGTCCGAGTGCTCGGTGTCTGTTGCAGACCGGTGATGGTCTTTGGTTGTCCCCGGAGGACCGTCCGTGGTCCTCAGATCACCAGGGGATCGTACCTGTCCAAAGCACGACACCAGCAGTGGTGCGTCTCGGGCACCAGCCGCAGTCACCAGTGGCGTAAGGCGATCCCTCAGCCTGGACTATCCCGCCAGCGGCAGCCGCAGTCGGCTCCTCACCCTCCCGGCAGTCCTTCCCGGGGTGCTGCGGCCCTCAGGGGAGCGGTTCACCTCTCTGCACGGTTCGGGTCGCTGCTGACAGGGGTGACACGACCTCGGAGGCGGCGCGGGAGATACTGGCCGGGCGGGGCCGGCCGCCGGCCTCTCCAGCTTCACTTTCCTGCCAGCCACCCGGGGGGGGGGGGGGACAGGCGCCCCCCCCCCCCCACCGGCACGGAGAGGCACGGAAGCTGAGGCTGCTCCGGCGGGAGGAAGGAAATCGGCAGTTCTCTCCGGTCGTGACCATCAGATGACGACCAACGCTTGGTCATTGGTCTGCAGCTGATGATTGGTCAACACCTCTTGACACTGAGCGTGGCTTTACACGCGTTTTACGGATCGAGCACACAAGCGTGATCATAAGATGGAAATAGAAGGGAAGCAAAAGTATGCAACACAGCGTTACTGCATTGAGTTCCAAGAGATCTTGCGTTTGGCACATTAATCACGTCGGCTGTGACTAATGTGCATGACTGTGACTAATCCAAAATACCTAACACCGCCATTTTATTTATTACATTTTCAACTCAAGAATCGAGATCATCTGCAGTGGTGAACCTAGTCGATAGACAATAGCTGAAGGGAGAGGGGACATCGATTTTTTATCCATGCACCCCCCCCCCCCCCGTCTAACTCGGCTCCTGGGCCACGTAGCGACACGCGGTAAGCGGCAAAGAACGTCCAAAATAAGGACGAAAACACTTCGGTCATTTTTTGGGTCAGGTCAAAGGTCAGGTCACCAGAGGTCATCAAGGTATAATGTTGGCTATTTCAACATTTTGGAAACTGCCAACGGCTAACTCGGGAACCGATAGAGCTACAGCGCCGCGGCAAGGCGCATTCGATAGCTCTTTTAACGCTCTTTCGCCGACATGTCCTCAGATTTGCCCTTAGGTCAACGGTTTAGCCTCCAGAGGGCAACAACCTCAAAGATAGCCGTTTTTACGAAAAGTGTTTTTTTTTCGGCAATAGCTTTTGACTCAAAAGAGCCACGACATTACTTTTGCCAGCATCGTGTTCCTCTCGTCGAGACGCTTCGAATGAACTATTAAGCTGACCTTGAAAGGTCAAGTTGAAAATTTGATCTCAGGTCAAGGTCATGACTTGACCGAAAAAGGTCATGTTGCATATCAGTCGATCCGCATCGTCCAGCCGAACACATCTAAGCTGATCCGGAAACGGATTTCCTTGATGTGTGTCATAATCTGCATTACTCTCCTGTCGTTCACGCGTGGCCAGCGTCTCGCTCATGTTTCAGCATTGCAAAATGTTTAAAGTGTGTCACACACCATTGCCCAACATATAGGCTAATTCCGTTATATAACTTTTTGAATACGTGCCACTAGCCAGCAAAACATCACGCATAACTTTGTCACATGGATGTTGTCATGAGAACTGTGCCTGTCTTAATTAGTCAGATTCGATGTATAAAATAAAACATTCAAGTTGGAAAAAAAACATTGAAATCACTTCATAAGGACAAACATATAAAGGAAAAATAGTCACAATAAAGTGTGTCAGATTTGGAATTGGAGCCATCAATTTTACGCTATTTGCGAAAACCTTAGGGCCTGAAACCTCACAAACCTATGCTCCAACTGGACTGCCATATCGAGACCTTTGGTCTCATATTGTTCGACGAAACCGTCAAGTGAACCTCAACCCTCAAACTTCTCCAGACTTGAAAAAGCTGTTTTATATAATCAAAGTTTCTCAGCTGGGAAGCTCACACGAATCTAGCAGCTTTGTAAGGAAGCATTATGCCTACTGCCTATGTCAGTTACGGTACCGTAATACCTTCGACCAGGTCATGGATGATATAATAATGGATTGGTGTCTTCGCAGTTTTTGGCGACATTGAGCTCAGGCCTGCCATCTAGCGGGAGAATTGTCGTAAGTTAGGAGCAAGCCGAGTGAGCGCCGCTGATTAGCATTGTGACACACGGGAGTGTGGTGTAGTAGCAGGCTTGTTGTGCAATTTTTCAAAAGCTTATGTCTTTATATGTCAGTAAAAGCGAAGAAATTAATAGATTTATATGCAGGGTCAGTAATAAGATAAGCAGTTCCATGTTATTTCCTCATTAAATCGTGAAACAGGGAGTTATTGGAGACTTCGCCAGCACGTGTCGTTTTCGCTATTTTTCACATGAGTCTTTACTTGGCCTAAATCAAACAAATTGTCCGATCAAAGAACAAAACGAACGTAAGTACTATCTATAAGTCTAATGAAAAACTTAAACGGAATTGCTAACGTCATTGCCGCTCAATATGCCATTCAAGACGCTCTATGAAAAGGACCCAACCGGTGGTGCGTAGTCGGTGAAATTTCAGTAACTTTGGCTCCAACTCCGATTCCGGTATCCAAATATCGACTCCGACTCCTCCGGGCATAACTGTCAATTCACACAGACTCCGACTCTGACTCCGCCTGCAGCCCTGGTAAGTCTGTGGAGTGATGACTTTTCGGTGACGTTCGACTCATACTCGGGCTACAGCTTTTAAAAATCAACCGACTCCGAGTCGGAACAGAACCGCTGGCTCTGACTACAACTTCGCAGCCCTGGCCCAAGATAGCTGCCTAAAACAACTTTTATGTGTGATCTTCTTCGTACAATGTTAATGCTATTTTAAACAAGGGGTGGAAAAGGGAGACGAAGCCTTTGCAAACAAGGATCTCCTGTTGCGAATCAATCAGCTGCTGGAAAAGAAAGGCATAAACACCACGCGTCTCATTTCATCGTTTTCCTAACAGCTCTGCACCAATGTAAGCACTGACCAATGCAGTGCGAGCATCGATGTGACATTTGTGTGCCAAGTTTGAGTGTTATCCGCCCAGCCGTTCTTGAGATATGGAAGCGGCACCCCGCACGTGCGCACGTGCAGTAGCACCCCCATAGTGACACATGGAAATGCATTGGCCACTGGGTGCTTAACTATTGACGAAGTTTTACTGTAATTGGCCCAGCCATTGCGGAGTTACTTTATGTGGAACAATTTCGACACCCCTAAGTTGGCACGTGACACGTGCCGTAACATTAACTAAGATGAAGAAAATCGGGCGTAATTCGGAGAAGAAGGAATGAACCTACCAAATATGTAGGTGACATATTGTCAAACTGCTGTACCATTGTGAGTAAATGACCATATAAAAGGTCGTACAAGCCGATGTGACTGGGCGTTTCAATACACACCGTCTTACGCATTTTATTTTCGTTATTACCTAAAGACTGCTTGACGTATTTGGCTTTCAAGCATTTAAGACGTTTTTTGTCGTCTCAGGTCCAGTAAGATTACCTCCAACTCGTGGGAATATGCACTTCAAGCCAACTAACACACCACACCCACGTGTGTCATAATGCTGAGAGATGGCGTTCACTTGGCTTGCTCCTAACTTACGATAATTCTCTCGCTAGATGGCAGGCCTGATCCCAATGTCGCGGATCCCAATGTTAATTTCCACGAGACACCAATCCAGTGTTATATCATCCATGACCAGGTGTTGTCGCAACCGCCCAATGTTTTTGAGCCGGAAATTGTACGGCTATTGGACGAAACAAGCTCAGCTCAGCCCAACTACCTTTTTTTCTCATGGAGTTACCGGCCATGCCCATAGCAGCATAGGCGTAGGAACAGGGGGGGCCAGGTGGGCAAGTGCCCACCCACTTTTCGAGGTGGGGGGGCCAACCATGTGTTTTGGCCCACCCACTTTTTACGCGAGGCCCCTCGTCTCGATTTGAGAGGACGTCGTCGCCTTGCAGAATAAACAAACTCGGTAAAAATAAGTTCCACGAATCCCCACGCACGGACTCCAAGGGGCCGTGATGGATCCAAGGACTGGCCCTCTGTTCATACTTGTCAGTCGAAGCCCCTGAGAATGATGGCCTGAGAGGCCCTAGTGGATCTGAGGAGGCCCCAATATCCACACTGGTCTGGGGAGGCCCCTGACACTGGCGGCCTGGGAGGCCCCTCTATCCACACTATAGTCAGAGGTCTGAGACTGGTGGTCTGGGAGGCCCCTCCATCCACACTAGTCAGAATAAGCCCCTGACACTGGCGGTCTAGCCGAGGCCCCCTACCCTCACTAGTCAGAGGAGGCCCCTCTATCCTCAATAGTCAGAAGAGGCCCCTGAGACTGATGGTCTGGGAGGCCTATCCATCTACACTGTAGTCAGAGGAGGCCCCTGAGACTGATGACCTGAGAGGCCCTAGTATCATCACACCAGGCAGAAGAGGCCCATGAGACTGATGGACTGAGAGGCCCTTCTATTCATACTGGCCACAGGAGACCCCCAAAACTTTCGGTCTGGGAGGTTCCTCAATCCGGCACCAGTCAGAAGAGTCCCCTGAGACTGGGAGGCCCTTGCGACTGATGGTATGAGAGGCCCTCATATTCACACCAGTCAGAAGAGGTCCCCGAGGCTGATGGCTGTGAGGCCCTTCTGTTCATATAACTGGCCACTGGAGGCCCCTGAAACCGGTGGTCTGGGAGGGCCCTCTATACACACTAGTCACTAGTCAGAAGAGGCCCCTGAGACCGATGATCTGAGAGGCTCTTATATTCATACTGGCCACAAGAGGCCCCTGAGACTGATAGCCAGAGAGGTCCACTCCTAATGAATCAGAGGGGGGCCTCTATCCACATTTACACTTTTCTAGGGAGGCCCCTGAGACCGATGGTCTGAGAGGCTCTTATATTCATACTGGCCACAAGAGGCCCCTGAGACTGATAGTCAGAGAGGTCCACTCCTAATGAATCTGAGGGGGGGGGGGGCCCTCTATCCACATTTACACTTTTCTAGGGAGGCCCCCGAGACTGATGGTCTGAGAGGCCCTTTTATTTATACTGTCCACAGGAGCCCCTGAGATTAATGGTCTGAGAGGCTTTTCTATTTATACTAACTAGAGGAGGCCCCTAGGATTGATGGTCTAACAGGCCCTTCTATTTATACTAGCCAGAGGAGGCCCAT